CTATTAGGACGTCTTTAATAAGGCTAAGGCTAACAAACTTCTAATCTACTAGCCTTATAACTATAAGATAGTCCTAGAGGAACCCCTTCTAAACTACTAGAGTCCCCTCTATTGTTAAAATACTAAGGAACTCTAGGCTACTAAGGAATATATACAAGAGCACCTATAGAAAGGTTTTATTAAGACTAGTTAGAGCCTATTCGCCTCTCCTATCCTATGCGTTAAGAAGCTAAATAGAGGCCTTAGGATCTATATAGATTACTATAAGCTTAATAGCTTAATGCAAAAGGACGCGTATCTAATACCCTGCATAGATAATCTATTATCCTAGCTAGCTAAAGCAAAAATCTTTACTAAGCTAGATATTTGTGCTACCTTTAATAAGATCTAAATAGACCCTAACTTAGAGGAGTACACTACTTTCCGCACTAGATATAGTACCTATAAATGCAAAGTCCTACTATTTAGGCTATATAATAGACTAGCAACCTATTAGTATTATATAAATAATATACTAATAGATTATTTAGATAACTTCTATATTACCTATCTAGATAATATCCTAATCTACTCTAAAAACCTTGCTACTTACAAGGACTATATTAAAAAAGTCCTTAAGCGTCTTTGTTCTGCTAGATTACAGGCTAATATTAAGAAAAGCGAATTCTATATAACCTGTACCTGTTACCTTAGCTATATCCTAACTAACAAAGGCTTAGAGGTAGACCCTAACAAAGTTAAAGTACTCTAAAACTAGTCCGCTCCTAAGACAATAACTAGAGTAAAGTCCTTCCTAGGATTTACTAGATTCTACTAGCAATTTATAGAAAACTTCTCTAAGATAGCTAAGCCCTTAACCGCCCTCTAGAGTCCTGCTACCCTATTTATATAGACTTTGGAATGCTAATAAGCCTTTAACTAGCTTAGGAATGCCCTGCTAGTAATCCTAAGCTTAGCTTACTTCTATCCTAAGTACCCTCTAAAACTAGAGACAGACGCCTCTAATAGAGTTATTGCAGCTGTCCTCTTATAGGAGCATCCTAATAGGAAATAGTACCCTATATCCTTCTTTAGTTAGACCCTTACTAGTTCTAAACTTAATTAGGAAATCTATAACAAAGAATTATTTACAATAATCTGCGCCTTTAAGAAATAGCGTGCTAACCTAACAAGTACTTAGCACCTTATTAGAGTATATACAGACTATAGAGCACTAGAGTACTTTATATCTACTAAAGTCCTTAGTGCTAGGCAAGCTAGATAGCTAGAGGTTATAAGTCCCTTTAACTTCTAAATTAAGTATACTCCTAGATCTTACAACGCCTAAGCAGATATCCTAAGTAGAAGGGAATAGGATATGGTTAACCTTAAGACTACGCAAAGGGATAATTACTTATAAGTAATAATCTCCCTAGACAGGTTATACCCCTAAATTAACTCTAACTTAGCGCAAGACTACCTAGCTAAGCATTCCTTACTAATCCTTGCTTTAATTATAGTAGTTTAGAACCCTATAACTCTTAGATCCCTAGAATTTATTAAAACTCTTCTCTAAGAAAATAGGTCCTTATTCCTAATAGAAAGATTAGAGTTGCCTAAGCACTATTAGATAGAAAATAGACTCCTTCTCTACTAGGATTAACTTTGCGTGCCTGCTAGATTAGTCCTATATACTAGACTAATTTGTAAGGCTTATAATTAAGTATCTACTACCTACCTATTAGCTACTAAAACCTATTAGATTCTAGCCTAATATTACTACTAGAAAGGTATAGAGACTACCTATAAACGCTACGTTTAGAACTATATCCTATGCAGGAGAGGGCACCTAAGACAGTACTAACTCCCTAGCATACTCTATCCCCTTCCTATCCCTAGTCTACTAATATAACACTTGTGCATTAATTTTAAGGATTTTCCCTAGGATTAACGTGGTTATAATTAGATTATAGTTATTATTAATCGCCTATTAAAGCAAGCTATTACTATCCCTTGCTACAAAACTATAGACGCCTAAGGTATAGCTACCTTATTTATTTAGTAGGTGTACTAATTTAGACACACTCTAGATACTATTATTTCTAATTAAGGCCCTTAGTTTATATCTAGTTTCTAGTCTAAATTCTATTAGATTATAGGCACTAAAGTTAAGCTCTCTACTACCTACTATAAATAAACTAATAGACAAACTAAGATTATAAACAAGTATATTAATTAGAGACTAAGGCCTTTTATATCCTATTACTAAGATAACTAGAGTAACCTACTACCTATAATAGACTGTGCCTAAAGTACTCTTCTATATTTATCTATTAGTATAGCTCTATATTAGCTTCTCTTTAGTTCCTTACTAAAGCAAAGTTAGAATTAGAAACTAGAAAAGACCCTATCTACTATACTAGAGAAACTAAACTATAAGGACGCCTTATCCCTTGCTACTTAGATATATAACACCTAGAAGATTACTAAAGAAAATATAGAAAGAGCTTAAGACTAAATGCGCTCTGCTACTAATTACTATTATTATCTAGTTAACTAGAAGGTTAGTAACTATATTTATCTATCTACTACTAATCTTGCTATTTTATAACCTAGCTAAAAACTATCTAAATAATAGAAAGGTCCCTTTAAGGTATTAGAACAAGTAGGAAACATATATCGCCTCTAATTACTACCTAGTTCTAAGATCTATAACGTTTTCTCTCCTAATATATTATACAAAGATCCCTAAGACCTATTACCTAGATAAGAGGCTCTAAAACCCCCTAGTACTCCTATACAAGGTATAGAGGAATAGGAGGTAGAAGAAATCCTAGCTAGTAAATTATATTAATCTAAGCTAAAATATAAGGTTAAGTAGGTTAGACATAATCCTAATCCTATTTAGTATCCTGCCTCTAACTTTATAGGTGCTCCCTATAAATTATAGGTATTCTACTAATAGTATCTAAATTAGCTAGGTCCCCTACGTAGCTTACTAAAATAGATTTAAGCCTAGGAAAAAGAGAAAGAGGACCTAATATTACTTTACAATAATTATACCTAATATTAGAACTAATTTATATCCTATTTAGCTACGCATTACTTATTAACTACTATCTATTACTATTATTCTTATTACTATTTATTATTATATCCTATTTAGAACCTTAAAGGTTCCTAGGACACTACCCCTAGGAAACCTCTTTATTCTATATCTATCTCTCTATTAGAACCTAGTTTTTGCTGTGTAACCTTCTCTATCTCAGGTTCCCTTCCGTCGGACT